ACATACATACATACATACATACATACACACACACACACACAAAATTGTTACAAAAACAATAATATACACAATTAGCATTATATTTGTATTATACTTCAGTAATTATATGTATATAGTATAACTTTTACATTTATATACAATTTTTGCAATTTTATATTAGCAATACATATGCAGATGATTATATTTTATCTTTTTTCTGATGCAACTTAGCATAGCTTCAACTTAGCATAGCTAAGAATTAATTTCATGATAGGTAGCAAATTATCATCAAAACCTACGTTGCAAGTTACAACACCATCTACTGTAAAGGTCGTACCGACCGGGACGAAACCTATTGTGAAAGGTTTTGATTTAAGTGGTGTAGAAAATACAGATTTGTTAAGCCCACGTTGTGGAAGTCCGTCTTCCAATCGGAACAGTCCTGAGGTCAAACGCAAGGAAGATATCATACAAAAGGAGAAAAGAATAGTCTCGTCAAAAATGAATAGTCCAAGATGCCAATCACCTATGTCGGGTCATGTAACACCGGAATTAGATACTAAAGTAAAGTCTAATACATCTAATGAAGAAAAAGCGGATGTCGAAGCGATATACAACAGTAAGAGAGGCGGCAGCAAGGAACAGCTTCATTTGGTAGTCGTGGGACACGTTGATGCTGGAAAAAGTACATTACTTGGACGATTACTCTGCGATTTAGGTCAAGTATCACAGAGACTTATCCATAAATATCAACAAGAGAGCAAAAAAATAGGAAAACAATCGTTTGCCTATGCTTGGGTACTCGACGAAACTGGTGAAGAAAGGTGATTATGTAACTTGTTATTGGGGATTCTTGGTGGAAAAAATTTGTCATTTTGTTCGAAAAATATAAAAAATGACAAATTCTGGCAAACAAAGACAGTATTACCGAAATTTGACGGAAAATATCTCATTTTATCTATAATCTGAATTTGTACATTTTGACAATTTTCGGAGAAATTTAGGACGAATTCAGACACATTTTGATTACATTTCGGACAATTTCGGACACATTCGAACAAATTTTTCCACAAGGCACTGGATATTCGAAAAATATTCGTTATTCGGCATTTCGATTTATTATCCAACACTTTTTAACTTAGATCAGATAGTCGGATATCATTAGCATCTGAGAGTGTACATCCAATTGAAATTTTATATCATTAAATTGTTCATATTTTATTATATAATTTATTATTATATTATAAATATTCTATAATTAAGTATGCATACTCATAATGCTATAATATCTTATATATTTAAACTTTGAAATTGCCTATAAGAACTGATTGGATGGATTTATGTATAAAAATTTGTATTTGAGTATTACAACTAATAACATACGTTTCATACAAACTTTATACAATCACATGTGGACAACACAATTCGTTATAGAATAATGCGACTCTATTTGCTTGATTACGTTTTGTAATGTACTTTGGTTAAACATATGATATTGAAAAGGATCTAAACGGCGAGCGAAACGTATATTATTAGTTGTAACACTCAAATAAAAATTTTTTTCATTTGAGTTACACAAATCCATCCAGTGTCAGCTCTTATAGGCAATTTCAAAGTTTCATTTAATTCGCTAGAATTTGATTATTAATTCATCTTATATATTGCTGCAAAATTACTTACAATTTTTTCCTCCACAGTTATCATGTCCATTGATACAGTCCTTTTCGCTCTCTTTTTCTTTTTCACTCAGCCTTTTTTTTAAGAAGACATTGTTCCGGAATTCAATTGGATATCCGGAAAATATCGAATATCCGATTCAAAAAATTGCCTTTCCGAATATCCGATGTCACATTTTTTTCCGATATCCAATATTCAGTAATTTTATGATCCGATACATCCTTACTTATTACATTAAAGAGTCAGTGCAGAAGAATGTACCAATTATAATACATCTTTAATAGAGAGCGGGGAATAACAATGGATATAGGCCACTCGAAATTTGAAACGGACACAAAATCTATCACTCTGCTAGATGCACCTGGCCACAAGGATTTTATTCCGAATATGATAACCGGCGCTACGCAAGCAGATGTAGCTTTGTTAGTAGTCGATGCAACCAGAGGCGAGTTTGAAACTGGATTTGATAGTGGAGGACAGACACGCGAACACGCCTTATTACTACGCTCTTTAGGTCATTTTTTCCCCTAAGTTTTGTAAAAAATTTTAGTTATTAAAAAAGAATATATTTACCATCAATTTTCTGTATTTACAATTCTGAATTTTTATTAAAAATTTAGGAATCTCGCAACTAGCAGTAGTTGTTAACAAGCTAGATACCGTAAATTGGTCTAAAGATAGATTCAATGAGATAGTGGACAAAATGAGTGTATTCCTAAAGCAAGCTGGCTTCAAAGATACCGTTACTTTCGTACCTTGCAGCGGTTTATCTGGAGAGAATATTGTAACAAAACCAAAGGAACAACTCTCTAATTGGTAATATCTCAATGTTTTTGCATATATGCTTTATCTATTTCTTATGAAATAATTTCACAGGTATACCGGACCTACTCTAGTTAATGTTATCGATAATTTCAAGTGCCCAGAGCGGCCTATAAATAAATCATTTCGTTTTTCGGTGAATGATATATTTAAGGGTACTGGATCTGGATTTTGTGTGTCTGGTCATGTGGAGACGGGTATGGTATCTTTGAGTGATAAGGTTTTAGTACTACCTCAAAACGAGATTGCAGTTGTTAAAGGTAAACTAAGGTTCTATTAGGCTTTAGTGGATTTAGCAATAGTGGACCATCATAAAGATGTTATGTGCTTAAAGATTACTTTATCTTAGGTCTTCAGTCGGATGAAGCTTCAACGGCAAATGCTTTTGCTGGTGATCACGTTGCGTTGACATTAGCGGGAATCGAGCAGCAAAATGTGGGTATCGGCGATATTATCTGTAACCCGCAGAATCCAGTACCTATAACGACCTGCTTTCAAGCGCATGTTGTTATATTCGCGATAACAAAACCAATCACAAAAGGTCTTCCAGTAGTGATGCACCAACAATCTTTGGTACAACCGGCGGTTATTACAAAATTAATAGCGCAACTTCATCGAAGTACTGGTGACGTGATCAAGAAGAAGCCGCGTTGCTTACCTAAGAATTCTAGTGCGATCATTGAGGTCGCAACGCAGACACCAGTTTGCATGGAGTTGTATAAGGATATTAAACAGCTAGGTAGAGTTATGTTACGATTAGAAGGTACCACTATTGCAGCTGGTTTGATTACAAAGATTTTATAAATCTGATTAATATAAATGAAATCTCGAATATTGCAATGCAATTTATATACACAAGAGAAAAATTTTATTTAGATCTATAATAATATGTGTTGTGTGTGTATATGTGTGTATGTGTGTGTACGTTTATGCGTGCACGCGTAAGTATCGCTGTGTATAGCGCGATATAGCTATCGGTGTGTATTTATACATCACACAAAATGATATATGCAAACTTTATAGGTTGTTGTTATGTATAATAGTATACAGAACTGTACTGAATAATTTAAGATTTTTTTATATATCCCATAGTATATTTATAATTGTTCATGAGCCATAGTACATGGACGACTAAAGCTGCGTTTTTGATACTATTACTGCTAAAAATCTACAATATACGTTATGTACATTGTAGATTTTTAGACAATGTATATTGGAATATAGCATAACTAAGTCACGCTATTTAATTGCAAATGATAGACATAGTCGCAAATATGCATGATTTAATAACTACTGAACAACAACTATTAATAGCGTTTTATCATTGAAATATTCCATATTGTAAGTAAATTTGTAGTTCTAGAAATTTATGTAATGCAATAAATGCAATACTCAATGATGTTATTCAGTATAGCTACTGAATATTATGCACATTGATGATATGTCTTATCATTCAGACTTGGTTCTGCCAATGTAAAATTAATCTTACATTGGTAAAACCGGATTTTAGTAATGCAACTAAGTTTTTCGTGTATCATGGCTCTATATCTTGGACAAGTGTAAAATTAATTTGGCATATCTAATAAAGATGTATGGTTACATTATTTTTATTAATATAATTTATATTAATTACTTTCTATATTATTATTTGTTGCTAATTAAAGATTTATGTGGTATTACATATCATTAAAAAAATAATGTCAGGTTAAGCCTTGTGACAAAGCTTTACTGAGGTAAGTTTATATGTAATATAGATAATTTTATTTTTATTATACGTGTGTGTATGTGTGTGTGTGTACATATACATACATGCATATATATATACATATATATATAAATATAAAACATCTATATAATATTATGTGATGTTTATATGTTAACTAATACTTTATAAAAAGTTTCAAAAATTCTTTTAATGAGAGTTATAATAATTATAATAATTTTCAATACATTAAATATATTAATACACTACTTTTTAATAACAAATACTGAATAAATGATAAAAATATAATTATACGTCTTTCAATCATGACTAACTAATTAGTTTTTCTTGTAATAAAGTAAATATAACAAAATACTTTTTATTTTAACTTTTTCATCTTGCGCAACTGCTACAACCTCCAAAAAATGGAATGTCAACATTGTTTCCTGTGTTTGGTCTACCAAGTCTACGCATTGGAGGACGTGGTCTACATATAGTAAATTATGCAAGTTATTGTCTTATATATTTATCATTTGATATAAATATTTTAAGAAATTATCATACCCAGAACCTGGACGATAATCCCTTGAATATTGATTTCCTGATCTATTCATGCCAGGATTGATCAATGTCTGAAAGCTAAATATTTCCAACGTTAGTGTGAGTAAAGAAAGAATAATACAGCTAATTAGTCAAAAAGTAATTTATACAGCATTATAGATGATTATACAGTAGATTATGGAGCACTTACAACATAATAATCATATAAATTACTCCTGTAAAGAATCCGAAAATTCTTCTTAATCCCCATGGAGCAGATTTTACCACGTCACCATCTACAAGCAAATTACTATGTACAAAAATTCCATTATTTTTACATAAAAAATTAGATGACAGTATATTACCGTCCGTTACATAAACCATACTCGAAGCAGCACGCTTGTCAGCAAAGATTGATTCAAATACAAAATTTATTTTCAATTTTTTGATTCTTTTTCACGTACAATTTTACACGATTTTATTATACGTAACCATAAACCTTATCAAATCTTTACAAACATTCACATATGATGTAGGCTGACAGACTAACAATTGCTGGCAATGATTGGCTGATGACTGGCAATCAAATAAGACACTTGAATTATTAAGCCAGTAACACACGATACATGTTTTCATACTGTATCGGCAGATTACTAGAATTGCAATACATCTATCATATGATGCTGGCTTTAAGATACGATTTCCAACCAAAAAATTGTAAACCGACCGGATCATGGACACTGGCTACGTAGTTTAATGTCTACATTTTGTGGACATAGAGGCGCTTCGAAATAAAGTAACAGCTAAATCTCGAGCATGACCGCTCTCAAGCTTTTCTCTGGTCCTATTTGGAGAGTAATGATACTGGCAGCGCTGAAAAGCTACAGTTTACGTTACACTGTAGATTTTCAGTATAGGTAATCAATTTTAGAATATAATCTACGTCCCAACAATAAGGATCATTCCACAACTTGCATAGCCGTATAACCATGGCTGTAGTCAAAATCTCACTACAAATGTTTTAAAGCAATTTTTGATTAGTCAATTTGTA